TCTGTTAGTAAAGGTCCAATGAGGCAACAAAAAGCTAAGTAGTTATTTTAACAAAGAAACTTTTCTTTTAAAGATTTTTATTGGGGAATTGGGGGATGGGAACAGCGCTGAGGAATTGGGGGAAGGGGGACAGACAAGTTGCTGTCTTTTTGTTCTTCGGTCTAGTTATGGAGGACGTTGCTTCACTGGCCTAAGTTGGCACCATCATTGCGCTCTTCCTGGGCAAAGCAGATCAGTCGCCGGCTTCTGGACGGCCGCTCACGCTGGCTGTTGGCTACACACGGTAGCTTATGGCAACCCACTGCAGCAGGGGCTGCAGCCTACAACGTCACCAGCGAATCACGGCAACCCAGCTCCAGGTTGAGTTGTTGTTCAGCATCTTAGCTGTAGAGGGCAGTGTCACTGGCCCTCTTATGTGGGATCCGAACTGGGGCGCTCTGGCGTCCCAAGCCAGTTCTTAACCAATGCACCACTCGGCCAGCCCAAAGAAACTTTAATAAAAGAATTGTCAGGGCTGGCCGAGTGGCTCAGTTGGTTAACAGTTAGCTTAAGAGTGCGAGCTCTGAGCAACAGGGCTGCCTGTTCGATTCCCACATGTGCCAGTGACCCTGCGCCTGAGCTGAGCTGCCGCTGAGCTGCCAACAGGTGGCAGGATAGCTCAGCTGGTGAGAGCACGTGCTCCTAACAAGACTGCCTGTTGGAAGGTGGACTACGCCTGCCTGTAACTAAGACTGAACTTAGCACCTTGAGCTGAGCTGCCACCCGGATGGCTCAGTGAATACAGCATGCGCTCTTAACAACAACACTGCCGGGTTCGACTCCCACATGGGATGGTGGCTATGCCCACCCGCAACTAAGATTGTAACACAGCACATTGAGCTTAGAGGCCATGAGCTGCTGATGGCAGCCAGATGGCAACTGGTGCCCTCCACAACTAAGATTGAAGAACAACAATTTGGCTGGTACCCCTCCCCAATTCCTCAACACTGTTCCCCTCCCCCAACTCCCCAATTTAAAAAAAAAAGAAGAATTGTCAACCAGACATTTAGGGAAAGACCAAATTCTGTTCCGTGGGAAGACGTGGAAATCTCATGATACGAACAACTAACTCAGAGTTCAACTAACTCAGAGTTCAGTACAAAGACATGGTTTATATTTAGAAAGGACACAGCAATTTTCTAGTTTTGACCCAGAACAAAGTAAATGATTAAGAGAATGCTCTAAGTTTCTCAACTTAGACACTGTTGGATGATTTTTGTTGTTGGGACAGCGGGAAGGGAAACTGTGCACTGTACAATATTTAGCAGCTCCCACCCCACTCCAATTATGACGATAAAAAAATGTCTCTAGACATTGCCAAATGTCCCATGAGGAGCAAAATCACCCCCAATTGAGAACCACTGGTCTAGGTCATGTTACCTTAAAATTTATGGTAAAAGGAAAGGAAACTGTGTCCACAACCAGATTTACAGATCATTATGTATAAACACATACTTTACCCCTAGCAACTCTGGTCACATGAAACAAACAGCCATGAAACCTATTTTAGGTTAAACTAACAAACACAGAGCACCTATATGCTACCGACCTGTGCAGTTATATGGTAGCCACTAGCCACATGTTGGTATTCAGCACTTGACACATGGCTACACTGAATTGAGATATGCTGTTAAGTGTAAAATTCACATTGGATTTCAAAGATTAAATATGAAGATAATACTGTTTTTGTATTGATTACATGTTAAAATATTTTGGTTAAAATGAGTTATTTAAAATATATTACTAAAATTATCTATTTTTGCTTTTTAAATGTGTCTATGAGGTCTGACAAGTTTGCGAACTCATCCTAGACAAAGTGCTACATACCTCATTGCTGAATATCACTACGGTCACCTTCGAAGTACTTCCCTTGGGAAGCTATGCACCGATGCCAGGACCTAGTCCACCCTTCAAAGCAATTTTGGGACTCTTTTTCTGGAATGGCCATCAGAGCTGTAGTTGTATTACCCTTGATGTCCTGAATATCATCAAAATGTCTTCCTTTCAATATTTCCTTTATCTTTGGGTAAAGAAAGAAGTCATTGGGGGCCAGATCAGGTGAGTAGGGAGGGTGTTCCAATACAGTTATTTGTTGACTGACTAAAAACTCCCTCACAGACAGTGCCATGTGAGCTAGTGCATTGTCATGACGCAAGAGCCATGAATTGTTGGCGAAAAGTTTAGGTCGTTTAACTTTTTCATGCAGCTTTTTAGCACTTCCAAATAGTAAACTTGGTTAACTGTTTGTCCAGTTAGTACACATTCATAATGAATAATCCCTCTGATATCAAAAAAAGGTTAGCAACATCGTTGTAACAAGTTTGCGAACTTAATTGTCAGACCTCGTATCACAAAATTTATAATTACAAATGCAGCTAGCATTTGTAGCTCCATGTGTCTATTGGACAGCCCTGGTCTGGACACAGGTTGCACCTCTATTCAACCTTACTGCAAATTCTGAGAAAATCTACACATCTAGTTTAAAGATATATCTTCTTGGAAGGCAAGTTAACACCAATGCCAACTCAGTCATGCATGTCGTTTATGACTGTTCCAGACAAAGGCAGATACAACCTATGGCAAGGTTATCATGAGAAGACACATACCCATAAGGCTGCTTAAAGCTTAACAATGAAAATTACTACAGATTTTTTTAAGGCATTCAAACTTCCCCTTACACCAATACTTTCTCGTTTGGATATCTTTCAAAAAGTTACCGTTAACTAATAGTGTGTCCTTGGGTTTTATAGTATTTGCTATTTGAAAACATAAAATGTTGTCTAATGTATTAAAGTTTGTCTAAGTATTATTTCCTCTGGTTTTTCACCAAAGCCCTGAGAGATAATTATGGACATGTTGAAAACACAGCCTAAATGTTGCATTCCAGGAGGGAGGGAGACCTTGGACCAAAAATCTACATTCTTCCTACAAACGACTGCAGTTGATCTGTTTAAACTCCCCTTCCAAATTATTTCCAAATTTCCCAGTACTCTAGCCTGATCAGAGAAAAACAGGCATGTGTGCATTTAAACATTTAGGAACAAAACAAATCACCTAAACATTCTTAGGCTGTTATGTGTCTTCCAGGGCCAGCTGAGTGGCTCAGTTGGTTAAGAGCGTGAGCTCTGAGCAACAGGGCCGTCGGTTCGATTCCCACATGGGCCAGTGAGCTGCACCCAAGCTGAGCTGCCAACAGGTGGCAGGATGGCTCAGCTGGTGAGAGTACATGCTCCTAACAAGGTTGCCTATTTGACTCCTGCATGGGATGGTGGGCTACACCCACCCGCAACTAAGATTGAACATAGCATCTTGAGCTGAGCTGCCCTGAGCTGCCCACCAGCGACCGGATGGCTCAGTGGTTAGAGCATGCGCACTTAGCAACAAGGTTTCTGGTTCCACTCAGGAATGGGATGGTGGACTATGTCCACCCGCAACTGAGATTGAACACGACACCTTGAGCTGAGCGGCCGTGAGCTGCCGACGGATGGCGACTGGAATTGGAGTTGTGCTAGCTGCACCCTCCACAACTAAGACTGAAGGACAACAACTTGGCTGTTCCCCTTCCCCAATATCACAACACTGTTCCCCTTCCTCAATTCCCCAATAAAATCTTTTTTTTTTTTTCCAAAGATTTTTTTGGGGAATTGAGGGAGGGGAACAGCATCGGAGAATCAGGGAAGCGGAACAGTCTAGTTGTTCTTCAGTCTAGTTGTGGAGGATGTCGCTATGCTGGCCCATGCTGGTATTGTGATCATTGTGGTGTTCCCAGCTGAGGCAGATCGGTCACTGCCCATTGGACGGCTGTTCATGGTGGCTCACAGCAGCTCAGGCTAGCTGCCAGCCGCTGTCACCGACTGCCAGCCACTCATGGTAGCTCACGGCTGCCCACAGCAGCCCTACTGCAGCCTACGCCATTGCCAGCCGACTCATGGCAGCCCAGCTCCAGGTCAAGTTGTTGTTCACCATCTTGGCTGTAGACAGCACAGCGTCACTGGCCCTCATGTGGGATCCAAACCAGGGCCCTGCTGCTCAGAGCTGGTGCTCCCAAGCCAACTCTTAACCAATGCACCACTCAGCTGGCCCTCCCCAATAAAATCTTTAAAAAAATAAAAATGTCTTCCAAATGTGACATAACCAAGGGCTTTTGTTATTCATGCTTATTTATAAACGCTTCCTATGTCACATGATGTTCTATCAAGACACTGAAAACTAGGAGTCTGGGCTAGTTTGTTCCTGTGCAAAGGGGGCAGGGTTGGCCCTGCATAATGCCGCAGCACCCCTCCACCTAGCGCTTGAGTTTCCTACCTTACTGCAATTATCATCTTTTAATCCTTTGGGATGTGCACTGTCTTTTACTCTTTCTCTAACATTGCAGGCTGTGTTTGTGGAAAAGTCAAACTCTAAAGTCTTTCAAACTCTAAAGTCTTTCTAACTCTAGAACCGAGCAGTTCTGTCTCCACGAGTGAGAACCATACTTACTTATGTGCGTTTACATGATGGAGCTCCATTAAAGTAGTAATCATTATCATTAAGGTGAACTACAGGTGCAACAGTACAGAATCTAGCGAGATACTTATCCAAGCATATGGTGCCTTCTCTCCCTTCCTCACAAGCAGCGGCTTCGCCTCCAATACCTTTTCCAAAACTCTGTCAAAACCGCGGACACTGCCGAGCGCCTTCATCACCTCCCGCAGTTGCTGTGTCAGGCTCATCGTGGGTCGTTCGCCGGCTTTCGGGCCCCGCGAAAGAATGGCCTTTGTAAGATTCCAGAAGCCCAGGAGTCCGCAAAAAAGTACAAGGGCGCAGGGGACGAAGAGATGCTGCCGTCCGCCTTGCGGAGCGCACACGAGCCCCACTGCCCCCACGCTCGCGCACTGACGTTCTGCGTCCCATGGTGACCGCGCACGCGCTGTTTTGTACTTCCCAGCGCCCGCCTCTCACCCGCTCCACAGCCACGCCTATCGCTCTCAGAGGGCGGAGCGCGTTTCCCTACCGGGAGCTTGATGCGGAAGGCCGGAGGCGGCGGGCACTTGCGCAGAGCGATGGCGGAGACCAGTCGGGTGGTCGGGCAGGAGGCGGGTAGCGACGAGGGTGAACCCTTGGGAGAAAAGCGGCAACTTCTGCGTGAGGAGTTCGCTGCGGTCGCGAGCTGCGACGCCTCTGCGGCGCGGCGCTACCTGGCTGAGAACAACTGGGAGATGGAAGTACGCTCTCTGTTTCTCCTCCGCTTTTTCCCTCGAGCTGCGCGCGCAGGAGACCCATTTCTGTGTCTCTTTTTCAGAGGGCGCTGAACGCCTACTTCGAGCGGCCGGTAGAAGAGGGCGCCTTAAAACGCCGCCTGGAGTCCGAGCCCGGGTCCTGGTGAGTGGGACCGGCAGCGTCGGATGGGTGGGTCAGTGTGGGGCGCGGGGCGTCCTGGACCCGTGGGGTCGGGTGAGCGGTGCTGAGCAGAATAACCCTCATCAGAGGCTATGGGTTTGTTTCGGCGCCTCCGGTGGAGATGCGCCCCAGCGGCGGTGATGACGATTTTCCCACGAGGTCCACACGGTCAGCTCCAAGGCAATTTGGAGTCCGGGGAGGAACAATCTGAAATGTAATTCTTGACTCAAATTACAGGAAGTATGTACGCGAGAGGTTAGAAACGAAGGAGGCAAAAGCCTCCATTGAAGAATGGTAACTTGGAAGTGTTCTTGTGTCCTGTATTGTTTGTTTATTTACTCTTTGCTGGCCAGCCATAATAATAGTTTTCTATAAATGGCACACCCGCCCCCGTTATCCCAGCTCCCTCCCCAATTCCTGGACCACTGCTCTTTGAAGTCCAGATGCCTTACAGGTCCCTCCACTGTTTGACCACTGCCTGTCTCTCCAGGTTCATCTCCTGTTCCCCTTTCTTTCCTACCCCACAAAAAGTTCCAGGCATATCAAGCTTTCCCCTTCTCAGGGGGCCATTGTCTCTTGGTTTCAACCTTTGTAAAGATGTTTGGTACCTCTACCTAGAACCTTTTGTTTTTCTTTCCTTGCTAAGTAATATTTATTTTAAAGGCCCAGCTTAGACATGATTTATCTCCGAGAAGCTTTCCTTGATCTTCCGATTCTGGGTAAGGTTCCCGTCTTAGGTAATCCTGTACCATCCTGCATGACCCGTGTCATAGTAACAATTCATGTATAATTGCTGTTTAATATTTTACATTTCCCGCTAGACTATACATTTGGTGAAGACAGTATCTGTTTTATACATTGTTGATTTGCCAAGGTCTAATACACTATTTTGGCATGTAATAAGCTCTCAATAAGTATGTATTGAATGTATAAAGTTCTCTCGCTATATGGGCAGCCTGTACGGTTAACTCTTCGTAGTGGAGATTCTTTTGTCCCTTTGACCTTTTCAGCTGCACTGGCTGATAGATGTGATTTTTATCATTTCATTGGGCTCCTTTTTCTGTCTGCCTAGCCTCTTAGTGGGGAATTGTCCACTCACCCACAGTGATATATTTTAGGCTCCCATGTTGTAATAGCTAAAGCCAGTTAGATTAGTAGGTATTCTCTTAGCCCAAGCTGACCAGCTAGATTCTCTCCATGGGAGTTAGAGGTAAGGATCAAGAGAGTGAAGTCTGAATCTTCCTATGGAGCTGGAACTGTAACATTAACATTGTAACTTAGTACCTGTGGGGCTCCACCCCATCCTTTTTTGTGCATGGAGAAGCTAAGAAGAGAATGAAACTGAGGAAAGTTGAACAACAGTGAGAGAAAGCCTTCATTGTACTTCCGTAGGCATAGCTGCACTCCTGGACCTAGCTTGGTGACATGCCTGTTTCCTTATAAATTCCATTTTTTTGTTTTGTTTGTTGGTTTGTTTTGGGTAAAGGTGTTTTTTCCAGGACCCATCAGCTCCAAGTCTAATCGCTGTTTTCAGTCTAGTTGCGGAGGGTGCAGCTCACTGGCCCATGTGGGAACTGAACTGGCAGCGTTGTTCAGAGCACACGCTCTTACCAACTGAGCCATCCAGCTGCCCCTCCTTAAAAATTCCTTGATTTTGTTCAAACTAGCTGGAGTTGGTGTCTGTTAGCACCCAAATTGTAACCAATAAAGAAATCAGAACAAAGGAGGTGGATTTCCTGAAGAAGTCCCACAGAAAAAATTGTGTATCAAGCTGAGCAGTGGTGGTGTGGAGGACCATTAGGAATCCTCCACCCTAGAATCATAAATTGGCAAAAACAAGCAAAGTTGTGGTTTGTTGTGTCTTGGAACTCAGGGCAAGTGCCATTGAGAGCAAGGCTTTATCTACAGAATAAGAATCCATACTGATATAAATACATATGTCCAGGAGAGAAGGGAGCACTTTTCCTTACAGTAGAATTCTAACTACTCAACATAGACGGCATGATGGAATTAGGGGGAAAAGATCACCATTTGGGAGTCACCATAGTAATAATTATTTTAGACGGGAATCACCAGTGGATGCTAAAACTCATAGGTGAAAGTTGATGAGAAACAACATATTTACATAGTCTCAAAAGTATCCACAAAGTACTTCTTACAGTGGGGAAAATAATGACTGTGCAGTGGAGAAATCTGGTAGACAATGCTTTAACCAAGTGATCAAAGTTAAATGACCAGTATTGGGGACAGATCCATATTAGGTGCCTCCTGATATGATACACTAAGTAAGACATACTATCACTTATGTGTCATTCCTGCCAAAAAGATGCATAATCTGAATCCAGTCATAAAACATCAGACAAACCCAAGCCTTAGGACATTCTGCAAAATAAATGGCCTGTATTCTTAAAAAATATCAAGGTCATGAGAGACAAAGACTGGAGAACCATTTTGAATTAAGGGAGATTGAAAGACATGCCATCTCAATGCAGCATGTGATCCTAAATTAGGATACTAGTGGCACAATTGGCGAAATTTGAATAGGTCTTTAAATTTTAATATTGTGTCAATGGTAAATTTTTGACTCAATAATTGTACTAGGGTATACAAGTATATGTAAGCATGTCCTTGTTTTTAGGAAATACATACAAAAGTTTATGCAAATGTTTCAGAATAAAAAGAATAAAGCAAGTGAATGTTAAGTAAATAAAATGTTAACATTTATGGATGAATGGTAAATAGAATTCTTTTTACAGTTTTTGCAATTCTGAAAGTCAAATTATTTCAAAATAAGTTAAACTAATAAGTTAACTAGACTTACTGTGGTGAACATTTTACAGTGAATGCAAATATCAAATCATTGTGTTGTGCCCCCTTAAACTAATACAGTTACATGTTAATTCTACCTCAAATTTTTTAAAAAGGAAGTTAAAATATTGGCATTAAATTTATTAAAATTATGAATCCAAAAACCTATTTCTTAAGTTTATGTAGTTTATAAATACATACTCAGCGGTCATTTTCATAATGTTTTGTCCCTCCCCTCAGATGTCTGGGCCTTGCGTTGGGCTCGCTGCCCAGTGCTCATAGAAGCCAGTACTATGGCACCAGCTTTTGAAAAAAGAAAAAAAGCTTTTTTGCAAAACCGACTGGTAGGCAGAGAGGAGACAAGGCTCAAATCTGTCGCTCTGATCCAGCGTTTGGGGTGAAATTTAAGGGGTTTCAGTACCAGATCTTCCTGAAAAATGGTCCCATCACTTCTGAAAGGGTTCTGGCAGCATTCAGCTTCCGGTCATGTCCAGGTTCTTTGGGTCTGTGGGTGGTGGTGGGGAAGAAACTTTGGTTCCAGGTGTAATTTACAGCATTATCTCTTCTGCATGTTTCTGCTGCATGACTTGCAGTTCTGTTCTATTGTCCCTGAAAAACTACTCCGTATCTTGTAAGAAACAGGATAGGGCCAGTTTTGGCTGGCTCTGCAGTTACAGTGGTGGTGGAGATAGTGGAAGTTGGGGTCAGGTAGGACCATGGACTAGAACACATACATATGGCCTCTCCAGCATGGTAGTCTCAGAGGAGTTGATTTCTTACATGGAGGCTCAGGGTTCCTGGAGAGAGTTTCCTAAAGGCTTGAGTGAAAGCTGCAAGGCTTCTTATGACCAAGTCTCAAGCCCCAGAATATCCTTTTCACTGTATTCTATTTGCCAAGCAAGTCACTAAGGCCCACATTCAAGGGGAAGGTTGTTAGACTTCACCTCTCAGCGAGGAGAATAACAAAGAACTTGTAAAGCCGTCATTTATCTGCCAGAATGAGATCTTATTTTAAATATGATTTAAAATGAAGCCAAATAAATTTGGAAATCTCACATTGCTTAGTCTAATTTGGGATCCTAGTTTATAAAATAATTTTAGTGACATTGTCATTGAAGGATATTGAGTTGTCTAACTGTATAAGTAAGCAAACATTTGGATAACAGTAAGAATCTTTTTCCTCAGTCATATGACTTTTGCTCTTCTATTGGCACATTCTTTAGGGTTCTTTTAAAATTTATTTAACTGTAAAGTGAAGGCTACAAATACTAAATACTTTTCAAAATTAAGCAGTTTATAGATTATTTGTCAAGTTGTGTTTCATTCTGATCTTGCTAGTGTTGACCTAACCAACGAGGAAACAACTGATTCCATTAGTTCTAAAACCAGCACATCTGAAAATCTTCAACAAGAAGATGGCAGCATGTTCTCTTTAATTACCTGGAATATTGATGGATTGGATTTAAACAATCTGCGAGAGAGGGCTCAAGGAGTATGTTCTTATTTTGCCTTGTGAGTATTATCACTTCTGTTTAGAGGTAGCATGGTAACATGTCTTACTATGTACAAAGAGGGTAACAATTGAAGGTATGGTACCTGAGTTCAGAGTCCAACTTTCAGAAGAAACACCTGAGAGAACTGAGTGATTGCATCTGAGGACAGGATTGTGGGGTAGAGTGGGGTGGGAACACTGATTTTTGTTAGAAGCCTTCTAGTACTATTTTACTTACTAACTTTGTGTATAATTATTGCTGTGAAAATTAAATTACCAAAAAGATCTGTGTCTGCCACACCAGGCTTTGTCCTGTGGAATCATCTGTGAGCCAGTTACGATCTCTGGAGCTAGGTTTTCTTCGTCATAGATAACTTGTTTCAAGAGGATTGAAAGAGATGATCACACTTAAAGCACCCATTAGCATGTAGGACCATTGTATGCTCTAAATATTACTGGTTCCTATTGTCAATGATTCTGATCCTTTTAACTTTAAAGTGTTGTCATGTACATATATGTTTTGTTTTAAAAATTAATCTTTACGATATGTGTTAAATAGCACAGAGCTTTCTCGTTTTATAGTTATTAAAGATCAGTATAAATATTGAATATTAGGTGTCCTAGAGGGTAGTTTTGTGTTTCTTTTATGTTTAATATTTTCCTAATCTAGGTAGCTGCAAATGAAATAGTATACCTGTTGTTTAAATAAATTGATGTTTTTAATTAGGTACAGCCCAGATGTGATATTTCTACAGGAAGTTATTCCCCCATATTATAGCTACCTAAAGAAGAGAGCAAGTAATTATGAGATTATTACAGGTAACAACTTTCCTGTTATTTAACTTGTCTTTGTCTTTGAAAAACAAATCAATGAAAGAGATAAATCAGAGTTAGCCTATTGGAACATAGACATGAAAAAGCACAAATAAATTTAAGAAAACAAGCCAGATACAGGATACTGAAGGACTATAGGTGAATATTTTATACAGCTTCATGTTGACATGTGGAAAAAACGGTGCAAATGGATGAATTTTTCAGGAAAATATAAATTATAATGCGAGGCACTGAGTAGCTTTTTGGTGAAATTAAATCGTTAAAAATTTTAAGTGTAATAATTACATTGTGGTTATGCTTTTTCAATAAGTTTTTATGTTTATTCCTTTTTCTTTTCCTAGCTTTTTGTCTTGAATAATTTAGTTTTTTAATTTTCCATCTATTTTGTTTTTACTAAATCTATTTAATGTACCACTTTGGCTACATTTTATGATTTTTGGCTAAATCTCATGGTTTTCTTGACTTTCACCTTTACATAGTATGTGATTTGTTTTGATTTACTCTTTAATCCGAAATTGCTAAGGAGAGGGTTCTCTCAATCACTGTGTCGGTCTTTCTCTGTTTTCTAGGATCACTTGTCTACGTTCTCTTGGGGATTCTTTTGCCTCTCTTCTGTTTTTGGATTTCTTGTTTTCTGAATTCCATGCTTTCCTCCTTCCTAGTTTATTTCTTCATTTTATTGGTGCACATCCTGTAATCACGTTCTAAGAAATAGTGCATGGGGAGTGGAGTTTCTGAAGCCTAGCATATTTGGAAATGCCTGTCTTTTATCCTCATAATTGGTTAAAAGTTTGACCAGACATAGATTTCTAGGATAGAAAGTAATTTTCCTTCATAATTTTGACTATTATTTCATTGGTTTTTGGTTTCCATTATTGATGATCATAAGTTTGAACCCACACCGATTCTTGCCCTTCCTTTACCCACTAAGCTTTGAGGTGGTCTTTTTAACCCTAGTGTTCTTTGGGTCTTTTAAAAAATTTATTGTGCTGACCACTTGGTAGAAACTTTCCATCTGAAGGTTTGTGACCTTCAATTCTGGAAAATTCTTTTTTTTTCTCTATCCTTTCCTCCCTCTCTCTCCCTTCTCTTTGTCCTTCCCTCCTGCCGCCTGCCCACCTGCCACCTTCCTAACCTGCCTGCCTTCCTCTCCTCCCTTCCCTTCACTTCCCTTTCATTCTTTTCTCCTTTCTTCTCCTTTTTCCTTCCTTCCTAGTCTTCCTGTTTTCTTTTTCTGATTTTTCCCTGTTCTGATAAACCAGTTACCACTTCTCCATCTACTTTGTTTTCTGAAAAACTGTTGGAAGCTTTCATTCACTGCCCCTCTACTTCTATTCTCTTTTCTTCTTGGAACTTTATACCTTTCTAATTTTTTTATACATTTATTGTAATTTTTCTGGTGCTTCCAGAGTGAGAAGTAAATACATGTTAATTTGCCTCAGTTTAAGTCTCATCTACTCTTTCAGAAATTTCTCAAATTTTTTTGTTTAATATTGGCACCCTTAACTATTTTTGGCATTTATTTGAAGTCATTTCTATTTTTATATTTCTTTCCTACTTCCAGTTATATTTTGGGAGGGGGCAGGTAAAAATAGGGACTTGGTTGACCATTTTTAACTATTTTGAAATAATACTTTTAAGATTTAGATCCATTTAAATACCGGTACCTGTTTGTTATAAAAATTTTCAGTAAGGGAACCTGTGATAAACTGCAAATACTCTTGATCTCTCAACCTAAATTCTTTTCCACAAACATCTAAAGGTCATGAAGAAGGATATTTCACAGCTATAATGTTGAAGAAATCGAGAGTGAAATTTAAAAGCCAAGAGATTATTCTTTTTCCAAATACAAAAATGATGAGAAACCTTTTGTGTGTTCATGTAAGTAATTTTAAAAAATCAACTGCTTTTTAAAAAAAGAATGGGCTTTTTTTATAGTTCTATAGGACTGTCTTTTGTTTAAAAAACCCATTACCTTTAGGGAGAAATTTGCTTCTCACTTATAGATTATTTTAATAGTCTTAAAAAACTTTGTAAATTCAGTTTTTACATAAATTTCAAATATAGACAAATTTGTAAGACTAAAATCCTTGATCCATTAACTGTTTTCCTAAGAGTATTTAAGAGTTTAACATTCCACGTTTGCTTCCTAAAGTTTTTTTTTTTTTTTACTAAATGCATTGTACATGGTACTGTGTTGTACTCTGAGGCTTACAAAAATGAGTCAAATAGATCTTGCTCTCATCGAGTTTATCAAGGGAGACACTGTGTATATAGTAACTAAAATAAAGGAAAGGCATAAATGCCATGGGGAGGTATAATGATGTGCCATGGAAGTTTAGAGAAAGGAGAGATGACTTTTAGCTAGATTTTTTTTTTCGGTTGAGGTGTAATCAATATAACATTAATGTTAGTTTTAGGTGTACGACATAATGATTCGATGTCTGTATATATTGTGAAATGATCGCAGCGGTAAGTCCAGTTAACATCTGTCACCATACAGAGCCACAATTTTTTTTCTTGTGATGAAGTTAGCTAGACTGTTTAGTGAAAGTTTTATGAAGGAAGTTGTATTTGAATTGGGCCCTGAAAAATACGTAAATGTAGACATTAAGAACAGTTCAGGTAGCAGAACCACCATGAGCAAACTTTTACAAATTGGCAAGATTTACATGTACATGAGACAAAGCATATATGGATATCAATAAGCATTCTGTTCAGTTGGGTATAGAGAGAACAGAAAGGGGTAGCGTGCTAAGAAGTTGGTGAAGTAGGTTGGATCCAGATTATAGAAGATCATGAATGCCCAATTTGAGAGTTTGGACTTGATTCTGCAGGCAATTAGTTTAAAAATAGATCCTACATTGTTGGTATCTTAATTGCAAAAGGTAAATGGTTCTTAGTCATTCATTTAATTGACCTTTTTTGAGTACCTGTGTGCCAGGCTGTTGATAACATAGCAGTGAATAAAAGAACCATCTTTGCTGTCAAAAGCTCATGGCTTTGTAGGAGACAAATAATTGTGCTGTAATTCAGTCTAGGGGACTTTAAAAGGTCTTTACAGCATGCTATAGAAATGTTGAAGAGGGAGCCTGGGTACATTGGGGGAAGGGCTCACAGTGGAGGTGATATTTGAGGTAGGTCTTAAAGTATTAATGGGTACTTTCTAAGCAGTCTTGTTTGGGAGAAGGGTTAGCACCTTAGACTTTGACCTAGAAGAAGAAGCATAGTGCTGATTAGATAGTTTTCGCTTTAGTGAATACATACCAATTAGTTGAATATCCGCTGATTCTGTTATCAGAGTTCAGCATTAGTGGCTAGTGGATAATTTTAATGAGTGTAATTATTTATCCTGTTGCAGGCAAGTGTGTTGGGAAATGAACTTTGCCTTATGACTTCGCATTTGGAGAGCACCAGCGGGCATGCCAAGGAACGAATGAATCAGTTCAAAATGGTTTTAAAGAAAATGCAAGAGGCTCCAGAGTCAGCTTCAGTTATATTTGCAGGAGATACAAATTTAAGGGATCAAGAAGTGAGTGACAACATCGGTTCAGTGTTTATGGGCAGATTACTGCTTTTTACCAAAGCTGGTAAAATGTACAAGTGACCTTGCAGATGCAATCAGCAAATACTTATTTAGCTGTGCTCTATGCCTAGCTCTGGGCAACAGAGGCAGGAGGGCTTTTAGGTTATTGGGGGAAAACAAATATTGCATGTAAAACAGACAACACAAAACAATGTGTGTGGATTAACAAGAGGAGTATAGAGAAGATTAGAAGAGTTCAGAAAAGGTCAAATTTAATTGCAATATCTTAATTGAGATTTGACCATCATAGTTGTCCATAACTCTGCCTTCTGACGTTTTCTTCAAACTTTTTTACCCACTTTTCCTGATACCACTATGACTATCTGAAACAAAGTCTCTTTTTTCTTAGTTCAGTTCAGACTTGATACTTTTCAGGTCTTTATAGATTTAGAACACATTAGATGATTGGCATGCTTTGCCTTTCCTTCCACTCTGGCTGATCTCACATCAGACTAAAAGTGAATTGAAATGGAGATTCTGTTCATTTTTACTGCCAAAAGCTCCAGAGGTGGAGGAAGACGTGAAATGGGAAATGAAAGCATGTCAGGACTTACTGCTAAAGTGAAGGCAGTACCCAAATAAAGGAAGTGGTGCTCTGCTTCTCTCAGTGACTTTGCATCCTTATATAGATTATTTTTTAAAATGAAAATTTCTATTGGACTGTTTGCAAATCAGTGACTTTATGGCAACTGTTTCTTGGTATCTTGTTGACTGGCTTTTAAAAAATGTACTGCTTTTTTTTTTCTTTTTTTTTTAGCTGAGCCATCCTGCCACCTGTTGTTGGCAGCTCAGCTCGGGCCGGGCATCGAACCGCCTGTTGCTCAGAGCTCAAATTCTTGAGCAAGCTCTTAACCAACTGAGCCACTCGGCCGGCCCCCAAAAACGTACTGCTTTTAACAAATAGTGTTGGGAGAACTAGATATCCATGTGCAAACAAATGAAGTTGGATCCGTACTTTACACCCTATATAAGAAAAAGTTTATTCAAAATGGATCAAAGACATAAAGGTAAGAGCTGAAACTATAAAACTCTTAGAGAAAACGGGAAAAGTTTCATGACATTGGATTTGGCAGTGATTTCTTGGATATAACAACAAAAGCACAGACAGCAAAAGGAACAGTAGGTAAGGTGGAGTTCATAAAAATTAAAATCTTTTGTGCATCAAAGGATACTATCAATGGAGCGAAAGGCAGCTCACGGAATGGGAGAAAATAATTGCAAATCATATATCTGGCAGGCAATATTCAGAATATATAAAGAACTACAAGAAGAAAACCATTGAAAGACAGCCTATTAAAAAATGGGCAAAAGACTTAAATAGATATTTCTCCAAAGACAATATACAAATGGCCAATCAGTACATGAAAAGAAGCTCAGCATCATCACTAGTTATTAAGAGAAATAGTTATTAAGAGAAAACCATCATGAGATACCACTTCATAGCCAATTAGCATGACTATTATAAAAAAACATATCACAAGTGTTGGCAAAGATTGGGAAAAATTAGAACCCTTGTGCATGGCTGGTGGGAATGTCAAATGGTGTTGCTGCTGTGGAAAATGGTGTGAGGATTCTTTTAAAAATTAAACAATTGCTGTACAACATATGATTCAGCAACTCTACTTCTGGGTAAATACCCCAAATAAATAAAAGCAGTGTCTTGAAGAGATATTTACACAGCTGAATTCATAGCCTTATTCACAATAAAATATGGAAGCAACCCAAGTGTCCCTTAGATGAATGGATAAACAAAATGTATATACATGCAATGGAATATCATTTAGCCTTAAAAAATGAAGGAAATATTGAGATAATATAACATGGATGAAACCGTGAAGACATGCTAAGTGAAATAAACCAGTCACAAAAGGACAAATATTTTACGATTCCTCTTATATGAGTTTTCTAACGTAGTAAATTCATAGCGACAGAAAGTAGAATGGTGGGTGCCAGGAGCTGGGGGGAAGGTGGAATGGGATGGGGAGTTAATGGGTAGAGTTTCAGTTTGGGAAAATGAAAAGATTCTGGAGATGGATGGTGGAGATGGTTGCACAATTATGTAGATGTACTTAATGCCATAGAACTGTATATGTTAAAATGGTAAATTATGTGTATATTTTACCATAATAATTAAAAATTTTGGCGTGTGGATGGGAGAAGGAAGGATTAATATTGTTATTAAATTTCAAATATATAAGGCAGTTGACATTATTGGATTGTATAAATGTCATATTTCTAAGTTTATAGACTAAAGTAGAGTAACAGTTTTACCTTTTCACTTGTGTTCGTTTTTTAAAAATTACTAATAGCAATAACTGAAACCATAAGTTTTTAGCCTTCTGACTTGTATCTGACATCCAAAGTTAGGAATCTATGGCAGAAGAGAAGGGGCGAATTCCTGACCTCTTTGGCTATCTTGATATTTTTATATTACCTACTTATTAGTCATGCAGCAAAATGTTTTATATCTAGTTATAACATCTAATTTTGCATTTGTGCATTAATAACTTTTGACATTCTGATTTGAAATATTGCACTTAGGCATAATAGTAAAGACACTTTTTAATTTAGGAGGGGAAAAGACTGAATCTTACAGAGTTTTCTTTCTTTTCAGGTTACCAAGTGTGGTGGTTTACCCAGCAACATTTTGGATGTCTGGGAGTTTTTGGGCAAACCTAAGCATTGCCAATATACATGGGATACACAAATGAATTCTAATCTTGGAATACCTGCTGTCCGTAAGCATCGTTTTGATAGAATATTTTTCAGAGCAGCAGCAGAAGGCGGCCACGTTATTCCCCAAAGTTTGGATCTCCTTGGGTTGGAAAAACTGGACTGTGGTAAATTTCCAAGTGATCACTGGGGTCTTCTTTGCAACTTAAATGTAATATTGTGAAATTTTTTTCAAATATGAGTTTTAAATGTCCTGAGTAATTTTGTTCTGGATATTTGCAAGTATAATTTTTACCTTTCTGGAAAATTAGGTTTCATATGGAAGAATTAATAGACTGGATCATTGTAAGAAAAGAACAAAATATTGTGATTTTATTTTGTGGATTGTGTCTTTAAATTTCAGATTTAAATATTAATGTTTATTTAAACTAAAGTATATCTGTGTTCAGAATATGAGGCTCTTTTTGGGGGGGGGCAAGAATATGAGGCTCTTAATGAAAGGGCACAAAGGCTGTCAGCTTTTTTTTTTTTTTTTTTTTTTTTTAGCTGAGCCATCCTGCTACCTGTTGGCAGCTCAGTGGCTGCTCAGCTCGGGCTGGACTCGAACCGCTGTTGCTCAGAGCTCAAACTCTTGAGCGAGCTCTTAACCAACTGAGCCACTCGGCCGGCCCCTGTCAGGTTTTAATAGTGCTCATAACTGCCAGCTGGATTTCATTGTCTCTGGGTTAGCCTTTATATTTGATTTATTTTTAAAATAGGGAACCAAAATAATTAATATTTTAAATGGGTCTTCAAAAGAAAAATTAGAGGTTACTGAGTCCTTGGGACTGGATCTTTAGGAATATTTCACAAATTCAGATAATCTTAAATGAAAAAGCCATGACCCCTCCTTTTAAGTAGATGACAACTATCTTATGTCAGACTTTATTTTTGTCAGCTAAGAGTACATAATTGGTAAGCTGTAAATGAACTCATGATTTAAAATTCCTTAACTTTAAAAATGTATGTTTAGGGCCGGCTGAGTGGCATGTTGGTTAAGAATTGGCTTGGGATGCCAGCTCTGAGCAGCAGGGCCCCAGTTCAGATCTCACATTAGGGCCAGTGACGCTGCGCCCTCTACAGCTAAGATGCTGAACGACAACTCGACCTGGAGCTGGGCTGCCGTGAGTCGCCGGCGACGGCGTAGGCTGCAGTGGAGCTGCAGTGGGCTAATGTAAGATTCTGTGAGTGGCCAGCAGCCGTCGTGAGCGGCCGTCCAGTGACTGGCGAGCAACTGCCTCAGCCGGGAAGAGCGCAATGACAATACCAACACGGGCCAGTGAAGCGACATCCTCCACAACTAGGCTGAAGAACAAAAGGACAGCAACTTGTCTGTTCCCTTTCCCCGATTCCCCAGCACTGTTCCCCTCCCCCAGTTCCCCAATAAAACCTTTAAAAAAAAAAAAAGTATGTTGACAGTTATGTCACCAACAGAGGCAAAATTAGGTTTGTAATGATTAAAGTCAGTTTTATAGTGGCATTTGACTTTTTCTTGCTGAGACAAAAATGTAAAGAGAAATAAATAGCCTTTTAGTTTTGCTACTCTAAAGTCGAATTATTTTATAAGAGGTAAGGAGCACTTTTAAATGTGCTTTAAGGAAACACTGTCTTCCCATAAGAGAAAGGTACTTTAAATAAAGAATTTTACTTCTTTATAGCTTGTTTTAGTATGTTTTTGTGCCCATGATGGGATTGAAGTTTTTACCTCCTTTCTGGCTCCACTGCTGCTACTTCACCTTTCCACCTGTGCGGAAGAAAATAGCTTTCCATGTTGCTTCTCACCTTACCAAGAATATATTGATTTCCTCAGTATAAAAAAAGGAAAACCAGTGGGAATAATTAGAATAAGGAGCAGCAGAACCTTATTTTCAGTGGGAATATCAAAATGAACAACTAAAACACCTGAAAAAAGACAAGCTAAATTTATACATAATATTCTCTGTATGACACTGGAAAGGAGTTTTATATGTTAATCATAATTTTAATCATTAAAAATAAAATGCTAATTTTTTAGCATACATTATGGAGGCAATAGTTGATTTTTGTGAGAAAGGATGTTTTTGGCATAAGTGACTCAACTGGAAGAATAAGAATCCCACCTCACATCCCATTATTAAAATCTGGATGAATGAAAGGCTAAATATAAAAAAATACGTAGCAGTGTGTATTAGATTAAATAATTATCAAATTGTTTTAAAACTGAAGGTATATCATTTCCTTAATATACTTGGAGCATCCATGTGGAACACTTTCCCATTTACTTACACAGTCGTCCTCCCTTACCCATGGGGAATACATTCCAAGACCCCCAGTGAATGCCTGAAACCACCCTTAGTACCAAACTCTATATATACTGCTTTCCCCCCCCAAATATACATAACTATAATCAAGTTTAATTTGTAAATTAGTCACAGTAAGAGATTAACAATAAAATAGAACAGTTATAACTACTGTAGGAAAAGTTACATGAATGTGGTCGCTTTCAAAATATCTTGCTGTACTGTACCCACCTTTTCACTTAAAGGAAGCGCTTTACAGCTCCTCTGGCCTATCCGAATTGCCAGCATCACTACTTGCACTTTGGGGCCATTATTAAGTAAGATAAAGGCTACTTAACACAAGCACTGTAATACAAGACAGTAGCCAAGATGGCTGCTATGTGATTAAGGGGATGGCAGGGAGCAGCTACAGTGTGAAGACACTAGACAAAGGGATGAATCACATCCCACGCGAGATGAAGTAGGAAGGTGAGGTTTTTTTCATGTTACTGAGTGGTGCACAATTTAAAACTTAGGAATTGTTTATTTGTGGAATTTTCTATTTAATATTTTTGGACCTTATTGACCTCGGGTAACTGAAACTAGAAAAGCAGGGTACTTGCTGCAGTGACAAAATCTAAGAAGCAAATTATAAAATGTGAATAGGAATAATTAAAGCATTTTGAGTCTGCTTTCATGGGCAATAGTTCACAAACAATGCAAGAATTAAGAACCCATTAATTTGAGATTTTTACTTTGAATCTCAAGTTTTTCCAGTACTAGTAGCTTTGTGTACCTTACCTCCTTTCTTGGTGGAATTCCAACTCAGAATCTTGTATTTCAATAGGCCAGTCACCATCTTTGCCCTGATGGGGAATGTACTTGAACCTTAGTAGATCTCAGTTTCTCTCACCTTCAAAATAGGGAGCAACCACATAGAAACAGGAGACAAAATCAGAAAAACTACTAAGGATACATCATTTTATCCTTAGTATTAGTTACAGCATCTGGCATGTTGCTAGAGCTCAACAAATGCCCACTGAATGCTGAAGAGGGGCCATTTGTGTTCCAGGGAGGCCCCAACATTTTCATACAGTACCAAATTAGATATTGCATTCATTACATCAAAGTAGGTACTGTAATGGCTCTGAGCTAAAAATGTTTAACATTCTGGTCTAAAATAAATTTATACACACACACACGCAGCACTGGGAACAAGCCTGTTGTGGACTACATCAGATTTATCCATGCAATGAGGTCCTCTGAGACTACTATGGAATGCCACCTGAAAGAGAGGAGGGAAGTGTCTGGTAAGATTAGGATTTCCGTTGAAGGATTCTAAGGAAGGTCTTGTAATCAGAGGGTTGGTTGGTTCCTGTTGGTTAGTTTCAGAGGCAGACTGGAAGAAGCAGGGATTAACTAGGGACTGCGTGCTGTCATGAGGCGTGGAGAGTTCAGCAGTTGGGACATGATCAGTTATGAGTGGGAATAGCAAAGCCTACGGGCATCTATTGTAAGAAAGCAGTAGTCAGCCATTCAAAGACAGACTTGTTAAGTCATTTTACAGCTGCTGGCAGGACTTCGGGAGAAATACTTCCTGCTAATTGTGCTGGTTTTATCTGTGGCCGACCCCTCAGCCTGATCAATTGGCAGCGCTGCCTTTTTACTTTTAGTCCAAACTGATTTTCACTCTTTGAGTCCTGGACAGGTTTTTTTTCTTTCAGTGTGTCCTATATGAGTGCTGTTATTCTCTCCATTTTATCACTGGGGAACTGAGGTTTGGCAGGATGATGTAACTCTTCCAAGTCCCCCCTATAGCCAGCTGTTAGGGGCTTGTTCATCATGCCTGGTGACTGACTCTGCTAAGCTCTGCACTTTTCTTTCACAGCGATGGCAGTGTGCCAGGAGTGCTTGAGGAACAGCATTGAGTGCCCTGTGTTAACATACCTAGATGTTTTAGCGTCTTTATTGTAAGAAAACAGTATAAACGCAAGGAAATGTTCCGCATGGGCTTATGTGGTTCAGATGATCGCCTTTCCCGAGACCCAAACGTCGCCTCATACAGTGAGCACCTGGTTAATCTAGAAAGGATGGAATTGATTTGGGTTCGCTCCAGCAGCTGTTTCCTTCCTCAGAGAGCAGCCCGTGATCAAAACAACAGGGCCTTAGGAGGATCTCGCAGGAAGAGCGGGACTTGTGCGTGTGTGTGGCTTCCCTTTGGGGACACATTCGCGAAGGGTTTTAGACCCAGGTAGCGCGCTCCCGGCTTCCTGGAGCCGCCCTGGCCGGGTGCCTGTCTTCAGAGCGCCGGCTGGTAGCTGGGAACCCCGCACCGGGAGAGAACCAGGGGCTGAGCCCTCTTGCCCCAGGCGAGTGCGCGCGCGTTGCCGTAGTAACCGCGGCTACTGAAAGGCGCAGAATCCGCAGCTCGCGCTCTTCCACCGCAGCGGGCGCTGGCGCGGGGGCGGGCGGGGTCCCGGGTTGCATGGTCGCGGGACCCCAGACCCCGCGGCCGCTGTCACCATGCAGGTAAGAGCAGCAGGAGCTTCCGCTTGTCTCGGGTTTGGGCGAGAGTCGCATCCTGGGGCTGCGACCTGGGGAAGGGAAGCCAGGGTGTTTCTCGGACCGGGCAGCACCTCCTCCGTGACAGCGGGGGCGCGTGTGCGTGAGTGTGTGACTGGTGTGCGTGAGTGTGAGAATGTATATGTAGTGTGTGTGTCTTAGTGTGACAGTGTGAGTGTGAATGTGTGTGTGTGCGTGTGTGAGGCCGGGAGATAGATGACGACGAGGAGCAGGTGGCGCTGCAGGTGATGCTCAGAGCCAGCGCCGCCCCCTCGGGAGGAGCCTCGGAGTCGCCAGCAGCGGCCCCCAGCTGCTGCCCCTTACCTGACAGCACGCTGGCCGAGTGTGGGAAGCGAGGGCAGCAAGGCGGGAAGGTTGTGCCGAAGAAAAACAGAATGAAGACGCCCTGGGTTTAGGGCGGCTTCTTCGTTTCTGCTGGAGCTCCAAGAAAGGGCGTTTCTGGATTGCTGCGCTGGTTTCTTAATCGTGTGGAGTCTGGCAAATTTGCATCTTTTCCCAACTTCGTGAATTGCATTTCTTAGACCTGTAGAATCGACTTCTTTAAATTTCGTTTAGTAATATTTACGTGGTATTTGGTATCGTTTGCTATCATTTTGTCTCTGCACCTTACCATAATCGGAAGCTCAAAACCTTTTAATGGCTTTTCTCTCCTTTCCTTTGAACTTCCTCCACTGAATGGATATTAATCAAGATATTATTAATCAAGAGCATAAACCTGAAATTATGGAAGTCATCATTCTTTGGATCATTTGTTCTCTTAATTAATGGAGAGCAAAAAGATATGGTACACATCCATACATGTCTATTTTTATTGCTAGTATATTCATCTAAACATTTTTGTTTGTCCGTTAAATACTAGCATTTTTTTCCAGTGCTTAAGTCGAAAAGTCGAATGATGTTTTTGGTAATAGAAAAAGTAAATCGTAGGCAACCCATCCAAAAAAAAAAAAACCACAATAATTTTTAAGGGAATGTTAGCGTTTATTTCTTTATTCCTGAAATGCATACTCACTGTCCAAATGCTTCAAATTATTCATTATAAGAAGTCCACAATCATGACATGACTGAAGTTATATCAAATGAAATATTTTATTTTGTTTATTTTTGCTTACTATTTTACGTCATTTTTCATACAGTAGAGGAAATTGGAGATATCAATTCAGTTATAGACTTAAGAGTCATAAAGTTGAATTCCTCTGTGATTTGAAAAACAGAAATGTAAACTTGTATCAATACTTTTTAGAATGATAGAAACTGACTCCTTACACCTTTACCATGTAGAATGCCGAGGCAGGGACCTAATTTCCCTTCAGAAAAACACATATTTCAGTAAAATATTTATGTATTAAAAAGTCAAAAGAAAGCTTTGGTAATTTATTAATTTAAAAGAGTGGGTTTGCCGTTACATTTTTTTGACGTAGTTATTTTTTTCCTAGCCAAACAGAAGGATAAGAAGCATTCTTTTTTAAATAAGTGTGTAGAACCAGGCATGACAGTTTCTGGGGTAGAGTAATGTAGATTTATGTCCAAGTCACATGGCTGGGGTTTGGTTGTGGCTCTGCCACTTAGTGACTTGTCACATTTGGCAAATTCCTTAATCCCTCTAAGCTTCAGTTTCTTCATCTTTAAAATAGGGATAATAATATGACTTACTTAATGGAATTACTATAAGAATTAAAGTAGTACATATAAGAGCTCTTTGCTTGTTGCCTGGCGTGCAGTAACACTTCAATAAAAGTTAGCTGTTATTATTCTTGAGATGATAAGTTTTCATTTCAGGAAATATTTTTCTATCTCTTTAAAATTATTTGGCAGTAAAAATAGAATTGTTTTCATGTGACCAAAACTTGTTCTGATTTATAATGTGAAATCATCATAAAATGCATACATTTTTCCTTGCAGCATCTTTATAACAACACCAATAAATATAATCATAATCTTAAAGTCATGTCAATTCCAGGTAATTATATTTAATATCCCCAGGAAGGAGCTTTGCTTTAGTAGGGCTGAAATAATTAGTAGGTTATTTTTTTTATGTTATTTATTTAGTTAGTTTCAGGCGTACAAAACAACATAATAATTAGACATTTATACCCCTCACAAAGTGATACCGCCCCATCTACTACCCCTCTGGCATCTTATATAGCTGTTACAATACCATTGACTATATTCCCTATGCTGTACTTTACATCCTGTGACTATACATGAGATCAGACAATTAAGTTCGTGAACTCATCCTAAAAAAATGCTACTTTACTTTGTAAACTTACATCCTGCTTTTAGGCAAATAGTGGAAGGGCAGAGAGCTTTTCTTGTCTCTGCTTCTTCTCTGTTGCCTTCAGCTCACAATAATCCTTTATACCAACGTGGCATATTTTGGGGTTGCATATTCTGCTACCCTTCATACATATCTGAACTGGTCTAATAATATCCAATACAAACTCAAATGATGAACTGGCAAGAAAAAAACTGCAACCAGAAACGTCATCACAGAAATAGGAAATTCTGTTAATTCAACATTTATTACACACACAACTCTGCTGACAAGACATTGATACATCCACACAATTATCAAAAACTAGAAAAATATATGCACATTAAAAAAACAAAATGTTTCCACACATTCCACTACACTTATTTTCAAGTTTTACCCCACAAAATACAGAAAAAAAAATCACAGCACAATAGTATTCAAGTAAAATGCTAGCTGAAATAGTGTTAAAAGAATAGTTAAAGCCCTGGGCTCCATCCATCGTTTAAAGAGAAGGCAGTCATGAGGCAAAATTTAAAGTTAATAAGTTGACAACAGATATATTTGCATTGTGCTTCTGATCTTTATTTTCACTGATTCTTTCCATAAGAATAAAGGTAGACATGGAAAGAAGTAACAACTTTAAAAATAATATTTAGGGGCCGGCTGAGTGGCTCAGTTGGTTAAGAGCTCGCTCAAGAGTTTGAGCTCTGAGCAACAGCGGTTCGAGTCAGCCCAAGCTGAGCAGCC